TTACACATCGGTTAAGTAAAGGCTGATCACTTGTGCTTAATTTATGTGTCATAAAAAGAACTTAATCGATCTCATTAGAAGTATGCTCTAGTTGTGACACTATTAAGAAAAACTTGAGCTTAGTTCCACTTTTGCGAATATCTGTTTCCTAGGATTAGAGGCACTGGTCAAGAAGATCAGAAACAATGGAAGTTGGAATGCTCAACTCTTGCTATCATTGTTTCCGCAGAGGCTCTGGTCTTATGATCAGAAGCTCTGCCATAAGCGAATAGAAGAAACAGAGGACCCATGCGTGAGTTAATTGAATGAAAAGTATAGGGGTTGCCACAGAGGTTCTGGTCCCGCTACCAGAAGCTCGAGTTGGAAAAAGAGGTAGGATCAGAGGGTCGCTGGAAGGAACCCTTAGCATACCTAAGTATTGAGATTGCCACAGAAGCTCTGGCTGGCACTCTGTGAACAGAGGCTCTGGTCTTTTTAGCAGAGGCTCTGGTTTAGTGATCAGAGGTGTTGTTTAAGGATCCTAGTATGTTTGTTGAGACTTAAGTGCTGTCTACAAGTCTCCTCTGAATCGCTAAGTTTTTGTTAGAGGATACATCTTAGTAACCAAGATTGTTCATGCCACAGATTTCGACGATGTCTTCAAACTCAAGTGAATACTCCGTTGATGATTCTGGATACGTGGTCGGTCGCTCCCAAAGGATCCCAACTCCTGGCGAAGAGGTCGACCCATACGACCAGGACATGGTCTCTAGGGGCACTGCGGTTGCACCACAAATGTCCTGCCTACCCCCAATGGAGCAAGCACCTGAGGTTCCGTCGCGAGCCCAGCAAGGTTCAAGAACCAGAGTCACACCTCGAAAGAATGTCTCGGTACCAGAGACGGTGACATTTGGGAACTCTCAGAGGGTCATTGGAGAGTCATCTCGACCCCAAGGCGGGAACAGAATGACCCGAATTGTGACTGGAATACCGGCATCTTATTCGCAAGGGATGAAACCATCGGCGAAAGAGTGGATAAGAAGGATTGCGGAGGACACATAGATGCATCAGGTTCGACTTGGATACCACCACAACATCCTCAACAACTTATCTGAAATAGTGGAAGCGCATCACCAGSGCATAGAGTGGAATGGAGAACTTGATGCTGCCGCCAGACGAGAGATTAGGAGGTTATATAGGTGGCTATTTGTTTGCAGCGTGATGATGTTAGCGCTAGGGATAGTTATTGGATGGATATTGGTTTAGGAAGAATTTGGAATGGATTGCTTCTTTGATCGGAAACTAGAAACTTTGTTTCGTATCTTTTATCGAAAAAGTAATGCATGATATCTTTTGGAAGGAAATTATATTATATCTATTGGCTATGCGATTGATTATGTCTTCTATCGATTATTTGTCATCTTCCTATCCTTTGTCATGCGGGTAAGACATTTAAGCATCATTGAAATTTTGTGGAAAGCTACCACTTTATGTTATCCTCAAACTTATGAATTCCATTYTGTTTAGGATTTAAAGAAATGCCGCCGAGAAGAGAAAACYCCGATTTAGCACAACTTGTTTCAGAGCAACTTATTGYTGCACTBCCTACCATAGTCAGCCAAGTGGCTGCTGGCTTGAATGCTAACCAACCTTCTAACTTGGAGTCTCGACCACCGCGGGAATGTACTTATAAAACCTTCCGAGCTTGCAATCCTAAGGAATTTAACGGAACAAAAGGAGCGGTAGAATTATTGACTTGGCTCGAGAGTATGGAATCCGTGTTGCACATTAGCAACTGCACTGAASGGAATAAGGTAAAATATGCGGCATGCCTTTTACAAGGAAGGGCGCTCACATGGTGGAACACCTTGGTGCAAAAAAGAGGCCAAGAAGCAGCCAATCAGCTCTCATGGGAGGAGTTTAAGAAGTTGCTAAAAGAAGAATACTGTTCGAGAAGTGAACTCCAGAAATTGGAGATGGAGCTGTGGAACCTTGAGATGAAGGGAGATGATATATCTGCGTACACAACGAGGTTTCAAGAATTGGCAAACCTGGTGCCACACCTTGTGACACCAGAGGAGGTTCGGATAGAAAGATACATTTGGGGTTTATCCCCAGAAATTAGAGGCAACATAACCTCTGCCAATCCAAAAACTTTTCAAGGAGCTATGGAAATTGCCACGAAACTCACAAACAATGCGGTGCGATCTGGAGGTTTGGCCAAGGGGAAAAGAAAGRTAGAGGATTATGAAGACCGAAAATTTGGAAGGAAACAGGACCGGAATAGGAGAACAACGAGAAACTTTGGAGCTCAATCACAGATAGCCGGACAGGGCGATGTGATTAAATGCGATAAATGCAAAGTTCCGCATCGGGGGAATTTCATTATCTGCAGGAGGTGCCATCTTGGGGGTCACGCGGCAAAGGATTGCCGGAAAAGACTATGCTTAGAATGTGGGAGTCCAGACCACATGAGGAATGTTTGCCCAAGAAGGAGAGCAGGGACAAATGTATATCAGACTCGGTAGAACAATCCAAGAAACGCAGAAAGTCAGGCTCGGGGCAGAGCATTCGAGCTGGGAGTCAGGGAAGCCAGAGAGGATCCCAATGTAGTGTCAGGTACGTTTCTTCTGAACAGTTTTATTTGATTCGGGCGCCGACGGAAGCTTTGTGTCATTAAATTTTAGTCAGAAAATTCACTTAAGACCCCAGAGGTTGAAAGAAGCCCTTGTCATTCAATTTGCCAATGGTCAGAAATTCAAAGTCAGGGATATAATTTTGAACTGCACCTTGAATTTAGCCAATAAGGACTTTAGYATAGACCTTATACCGATCGAACTAGGAAATTTCGACGTAATTGTAGCCATGGATTGGCTGTCCAAAAACCAAGCCGAAATCATTTGTTCAGAAAAGCTTATACGAATTCCTCAAGAAGGAATGGAGCCAACAGTKGTCCAGRGAGATAAGTTGGACCAAGCGATTAAGTTGGTAACCTGTATAAAGATGAGGAAGTACCTAAAGAAGAATTACCCTGCATACTTGGCCCACGTGATAGATGGAAGGATCAAGGAGAATAATATTGAGGATTTACCCATAGTTCGGGAATTTTCCGATGTTTTCCCTAAAGATCTGCCAGGTCTGCCTCCGCAAAGACAAGTAGAGTTCGGTATCGACTTGATCCCTGGAGCTGCTCCAGTGGCCAAGGCACCATACCGTCTGGCACCATYAGAAATGCAGGAAATGTCGACTCAACTTCAGGAATTGCTAAACAAAGGTTTTATAAGGCCAAGCCATTCGCCATGGGGAGCACCGGTGCTATTCGTCAAAAAGAAAGACGGATCAATGCGATTGTGCATTGATTATAGAGAGCTCAATAAGTTAACCATTAAGAATAGGTACCCTCTTCCTAGAATCGACGATCTATTCGATCAACTTCAAGGGGCAGCCTATTTTTCGAAGATTGATTTGTGATCCGGATATCACCAAGTGAGGGTTCGGGAAGACGATATTCCCAAGACTGCCTTTAGGACCCGATATGGCCATTATGAATTCATGGTTATGCCATTCGGGCTAACCAATGCACCAGCGGTCTTCATGGACCTCATGAACAGAGTCTGTAGACCCTACTTGGATAAATTTGTGATTGTCTTTATAGACGACATATTAATTTATTCAGGAAGCCGGGAAGACCATGAGAGACACTTGAGGGCAATTTTGGAAGTACTCCGAAAGGAAAAGTTGGATGCCAAATTTTCTAAGTGTGAGTTTTGGTTACGGGAAGTTCAGTTTCTAGGTCACGTAGTTAATGAAAGAGGAATTCAAGTTGATCCTGCCAAAATTGAGGCTATTAAGAATTGGGAAGCCCCGAGAACACCTACAGAGATTCGTCAATTCCTTGGGTTGGCAGGCTACTACAGGCGTTTCATTGCAAATTTCTCAAAAATTGCACTACCGCTTACAGCCTTAACCCAAAAAGATAAGAAGTTTATCTGGAGCAAGAAGCCAGAAGAGGCCTTCAAGACTCTCAAACAGAAGCTGTGTAATGCACCTATCTTATCCCTACCAGAGGGTTCAGATAACTTCGTAGTCTTTTGTGATGCATCACATCAGGGCTTAGGTTGTGTATTGATGCAAAAGGATAAAGTAATTTCCTATGCATCGAGACAACTGAAAGTGCATGAAAAGAATTACACTACGCACGACCTTGAGCTGGGAGCAGTAGTGTTTGCACTTAAGATATGGAGACACTATCTCTATGGCACAAAGTGCACCATTTACACGGATCATAAAAGCCTTCAACACATCCTCGACCAGAAAATGTTGAATATGAGGCAAAGAAGATGGGTTGAATTGGTTAGTGATTATGATTGTGAGATCAAATACCATCCGGGCAAAGCCAATGTTGTGACGGATGCGTTAAGCCGGAAAAAAGGTATAAAGCCAACAAGTGGGCTAGCTTTGGAAATCTTGGTAAATACCAGTCTGAAAGCTCAAATCCTATAAGATCAAAAAGAAGCTCTAATGGAGGAGAACTTAAAGAATGAAACCCTGCATGGCATAGAGTCCAAATTTCTGATAGGATCCGATGGAGTGCGCTATTTGGGAAATAGAATTTGGATACCTAAGATTGGCAATCTTAGATCAAT